CTCTCTCTCTCTCTCCCTCTCTCTCTCACACGGGAGATTCGCACGTCGTCAGTGTTCCGCAGTCGTCGCCTTCGACGACGACAACGACGACAACGACGACGACGACGACGACGTCGTCGTCATCGTCGTCGTTGTTCCACGTGAACCTGACGGTGTCGCGCTCTCGGACGTGGCGCGCGCGCCAGTTCCCCGCGGTGCGACAGGAGGGATTATTCGGTGGCGAAGAGAGGCGGAGGAGGAAGAGAAGCCGAGGAGGAGAGCCGCGAGAGTGCGACGACCGAACTCAACCGTCCGACCGACAGTAGTGCGCGGCGTTTGTTGTTACGAATCGTCGGGCCAGCTTCGCGCGCGATGACGGCACCGACGACTCCACGCCACTGAAAGAGAGCGGACGAATTAGTACGCGAATGTGTGCCGCGAACACGTGCGTCAGTGTGTGACCAAGTTTTCTCTCTCGTTTGTATACCCAACGATCTTTCCTTATCCCGTGTCCCGGTGCTCCCGGAGCTTTCGGTGCTGGAGCTTCCGGAGATAACGGGATCGACGATAAGACCAAGGAGAAGACGAGGAGAAGACGCGCGGCTCACCTCACTCACCGGCTTGATCGCCTTGATCGCCCTCGGCGAGCGAGATCGGAGAGAGACTCCTAGATATTATTCATCGTGCACGCATCCCTCGCGCACACATACATACGTATAAATATAGATGACACGTACTCGGGGGTCCCGTAACTCGTAACCCGTAATCCTGATTTGCGTACATTCTCCCCCTCCCCCCCTCCACAATCTCTTCCCGTTTGGTTCTCAATTCTTATTTATTTAAGTTCGTCGTACTTATATTCCCAAGTACGCGGAAAGGTTCCTTCACGACCTTCGCGGTCCTTTCGCGAGTCTTTAACCCGCGCGTAGCACTCCGCAAAGCGTTCCTTTCTCCTTCTCTCTATTTCACCGCATACACTTAATCTCTCTCTCTCTCTCTCTCTCTCTCTCTCTCTCTCTGTCGCGCGCGTGTTCTTTCACCAGGTTTCTCTCACCACCGCGCGCGATTGCTCTCGGCCTTTACGTTTCTTCCTCGGCACGCCTCGCGCTCGCGGTCACTCTCTCTTTCGTTTGCGTTCCGCGCGCGTCACTCGTTCAGTGTTCTCGCCTGTTCTCGCCGGCCGCGAGCAAAACACACGGTCTCTAAACTCGCCCGCTCGGTCTCGTTTCCGCTTATCTGCACCCGCTTGGCTCCAACTTTCTCCATCTCGTTCACTCTTCCGCCCCCGGTGTGATCGGTCAATCGGTGTGCATATACACATACACACACGTGCAGCGATACATATTTCATTATCACGTTCGTCACCCCATCTTTTCTCTTTATCCACTGTCCTCTTTTTTTTTTATTTTCATCTTTCCGTCCATCATTCTCGATCTAATCACGTCGTTGTCACGTCGATTAAACTCGCCGATCGTCGATCCGCGATCGTCGATCGACGAATGTCATCGTTCTCTACGTCGCCGTCATCGTCGTCGACGTCGTCACTATGACGCAGCCGTCGCACCAGTGTGATACTTAAATAAGCGAAATTTAAGTATACAAAGTTTTATCTTGTGTGTTAATGCATCGCGTGTCGAGATGCACCGGTGACGTGATCGCACGCGCGTCGCGACGCTCGATTCGCCACCGCCCCGCCATGCTCTCGCATTCCCCACGTATGTGCGTGTACGTATAACTTGAGATACGCTCATACGTTTTTAAGACGGTGAAAAACCGTAAAATTCCCGCCTTCGTCGTCATTTCGGAATTTGGAGCAAAACTGTGTCAAGGATTCAAAATTATCTATTTACTATTCTTCAAACCGTCAATCAACAGTCTCATATATACATATTGCGATTGTGAAAGTCGAAATCGCCCACTCCAAGTTCGATTTTGATTTCCGTGCGCGTTATGTGTGTGAGTAAAATACGTGATGTAGAAGAATAGATCACCAAAAAATAAATCGGTGATAAATGTGTTTATCAGTGGCTGGAAATGTTTTATTTAGTGGACTACATATAATTATGCTTGTTCGTGTTTATGGGTGACGTCATTCCTAAGGCTGGTTAGTGATTGTTGGAATCCTTTTCCTAAACCATCATCATTAGGAAATTAATGACGCTGATGGTACGTTATTAATGTATTATTAATGGTGGTTATGATAGATTTCGCCAGCGTTGTACGTATATACGTATTGGTTTCCGCTGAGAGACTCTTCCGCGTTGATCATGTAACGTAACTTGGATGTAGAAATTTATCGTGGAATTCGTGCCAACGACGAGTGTATTGCGGAAGCTTAGTCGCTTGATTCTCTACCGAAACCAATTTTCAACAATTTTCTTAGAGAGAAATTCCTCAAAGTTCGAATGTTATTATCTATATCTAAGAAATATCGTTTGTGTATGCAAAATCTCTAATAGAACCGATTTAAAGCCGGAAATAGACTACTGCGTGATTACGCAAAATGTGTTTGTACTGAATCAAACATGAGAAATCAAATCCTTATCATTACAGTTAACCACCATGCTATGCTTCCCGATTTCATATACCACGTATATTCGCTTCATATAATTTCACTCTCTAATGTCAGCCTTTTAGCAAAAGTTACATGACTTTTCTTAATTACTCTTTTTCTCAATTAAGGATGTATCAGGTGTATAATAGTCTTCATAAAAAGTGACTGAAATTGAAACTTTATACTTTCCATATAAAAATGAATATTATTTATACAACAAACAGTTCGATAAGGTCAGCATTTACATTTAATATAATTTTATTACCTCAAATGAAAATTTTCTCGTTATATCTTAATTATTTTTTAAATACAAGTCTTATACTTATCGAAAAAAATTTGGTCCAGTTTTTAAATTACCGCCAAACTTTTTGTTGCTTTTAAATACGATATAGGGAAATTTGTAATTTTTTCATAATTTTTTTTTTATTAAAAAATACATTCTTAATCCTCACAGTATCAGAAGGAATAAGATTTAATACACAATATTAAAATATAAACAAATACGTCACTTGCAATAAAATAAATATCATTGCCGAAAATATGACAAATATCAAAGTGCCAAAAAATTAGCAACATACCTGAGTTCATATTTTTCTCAGATTGTTACGTTCGTTCATTGATTAATTCGTTGTTTTATAGGCACGTGTGACGGAATTAATATAAAACCTAATCGCGAAATAACAGTCCTTATTTCGTTCTTGGACGTTAATTCTCAAGTTTAATCAAGTCTGATAAGATAAAAGACAATGGTTTCGCCACTATTTACCGTTTGGCGGCTTCGCGATCGTGAAGCACCTCTTCAATGAACCGCCGCGACACGCACGTGAGAGTGGATAAGCGTAGCAGGCGTGCGTAATATTCGACACGCGCGTCACGACCGGAGGTCGCGCATCGCGGACGTCGCGCCGCACCGCGGTTATAAATAAAACGTACGTCGCGAACATCGACACGCCGCGCCGCGCTCGCGCTTCTTCGTCGCTTCATGTAACGTGTCAATAAAAATAGACGACAGCTCAAGTCTCGACCGGTCTACCAGGATTGCGGGAAATGAGGATTTTGAAAAACTCTGAACGCCGCCGCCCCCGTTTGCCAAGTTGATAAGTTTTATATAACACGATAATATCTCTTTCTAAGAAATTGGTCTGCAATCAAGATCGGAATTGTCACATTGGGAACAGTCGCTTCAGACGTAATCACGGTTGAAGAGAAAACAAGGAAGGGTCGCTACCCTTTTTTTGGATGAAAAGTTTAAGAAAGAAATAGGGTTAATTTCTTTTCTGTCATAATTTGTACAATTATAAGTTTAAACGGGATATACAGTGCATGGATCAACATTATTAAAATAAATTTTTTATGTTATAAATCTTATAATCTTCTTAATCGTCGCAGTGAGAAATTCTAGCTGCTCGCAATTTTCATGACACTTTGCGGTTTCCGTAAACGTCTGTATTTCCCTGATTTTTCCCAGCCGCGCGTATTGCTCACGTTGATTCGCGACGTTACGACATAAAATTTACTCCACCAGTGGCAATCATCTGAAACGTAAATGTACATACGTCTAGGTATCGTGCGTACAGCATTACGCTACATAAGAGACTATCTGCCACGCGAGACTATAGGCGCGACTATTTTCGCGTCTTTGAAAATAGGCGAGACCGCCCATCTACGGTTCGCGATTTTGCATGCAGCTATCCGATGATGCGACGCGACCGCGATATCTCCGATATTGAATTAGCCGAGATGATCTTATTCGAAAACTGCACGTCTCTTGGACAGAAGATATTAAACGTATATAAAGATGCCGAGCTTCTCTTGTCGCACGCGTTACTCATCGGTATTTTTGCAAATCTGACGCTAAATTTTGTCGAACAATTATTTTTTTAGCACGCTTTATGTCGTGTTTATGCAGATCCGAATAGCGGATATAAAATGCCTGAACGATTCGCAAAAGGTCACACCGAAATGTCTACGAACACTGGAAATATTCCAGATTGTGTGATAACTATACACTCTGCTACCAACTGAGCGTTTTCGGCTGTGAAATTCTAATTCGGAACTCTCGGTAGGAGATTAATTAGGAACGGTCGTGAAGCGTCTCGCTAGTTTAATCAGTTGGCTCTGACTATCCACTTTGAGAATCAGCTTCTTTAATTCAATCGATCTCGTTATCCGATAATATTTGTTGATTACAAATCACCATATCATTACATCATAAGAAATTGAATTAAATTATCAATTATATAATAACTATTTCTGTCTACAATCTACAAATTGAATCTGTATTTTTTATCTATTAATTTGATTAATCAGGTCTATTTAATTGTAGGTTCGTTTAACTATGTGTTCGTTTAATTAGATTAATCTTTACTTTATCAATGTAAAATTAAATAACTCAAAATTGTAATCGTCATGTTATATTTGAAATTATCGCCAGGCTCATCCCAGCAGGTCTTATTAGCAGGTCTTATAGGTGACGTCACACTTAGGTACATAGTGATTGCACTTAAATCATCAAAAGATTCGAGCGCGCACGGAGATCGTACTTTTGACCGGGATTCGCGACTTAGGCAGCTAATTGGCTGAGAAGACCATTATCGGTCTTCGTCGTCGGGATCTCGCGGCTTCCCCCTGTTGTGCGACGGCGTCTCGCAGCCTGGAAGCGATTCAGGTTGAAATCGATTTCGCATAATTCCCGATCCGGGATATAATTCTCCCCGATATATAATAACGAGGATCACGTGCCATGAATATTATTTCCCCACGTTTAGCGAATGTAGCAAGGAGGAATACACTGTCGGACTTGGTGACCCGCGCTTGTCTGGAGACGGATAACGAAGTGCGTTAATATCAAAGACTACGAAATGAACAGTGACAATCGCAAAGAGCAAGATTGTGGGCGAGGTCCGCTGTGTTCTCGCAACGAGTTTCCGCACCGTCGTTACGGCGGAAAGCCACGAGAGCGCCCTTGCTGAAAGTTATTCGAACTCGCGAGTGAGAGTGTTAATCGCATCGCTGAGGAACATGAGACACAAAGGCGAGAAGGGCAGTTAGTTTGACGTAAAGCGGCTTCGGCCGACGTCATGTCCGCCGTTGACTCGCAGCGCAGAATTTCCCGTTTTCTGTGAGACAATTCGATTTTTTCCGATACGGGAGGATCGCGCCCAGAAGAGGCGCCCGGAGCCAATTTGGAGCGACCGTTGACCTTGACCGAGGCCATTTCGGCCACGACCGATTGAGGACCACGCAAACTGCCTAACCAGCACTCAGTACTAATAACTACAATAGATAGAGACTGTTCTCTCTTTGTGTTTATCTCTTTCTTTCTCTCTTGAGAATTATTATCGATCTAGCCAGCTGTCGACCGTTCCATCTCCAACGTCCAGAGTCCAAGAGGGGATCTGTATGAAAAGTCTGAGACCAATCATCAGCCCGTAGACCAGGAGATCCTGTTTAAGAGATTCTGCACTTAAAGTGATTCTGCGTCAAAGCGCAGCAGAGCGATGCTATACTAGTGACGTTACCGTTGCTACGTCACGATAACGGTAATCCGCGTACGAGCGGCGCAGTTGCGCAGAACGGAGAATCACCAACCTTCGTTGTTGTAGTTCAGAGCAATGAGAGCGCCTCGTGGAATTTAAAAGTGAAACTGTGACACGTTATCCGGTGCCTTCTCCCATTCTTTTTGCTTCTACTATCTACCACGCGTCCTCTACTTTTCTTTAGTTTATCCGCCACGTTACCTTGTGTCTCTTCCTTCTTTCCTCTTCCTCGGTATTTCTCCTCACTTGATCGGCGCGACCCTCGTTTCCCTCTCTTTCTTCTTTCTTCCACGATCTCATCAAGTGAAGCCGCGCGCGAAAGGAAAAGAGAAGAGCGCGAGTGAAAGTGAATCTCGTTATGAATTTACAGAGTGATCAGTCGCTCGTTATATTGTGATTATACGTTGGTGAAGCGTTTGGATTAGATCGGTATACGATGATTAGCATATTACACGAGTCCGGTACCACCGGCAGCAGCAGCTGAAACCGCCAACCTATCAGGCGTCGACCAGGCGGAACTTTTGCAACTGAGGATTTAGAAGGGTAAGAAGAGGAAGTGCTACCAGCTGGCGCTCACGTTGATGGCCGATCATCGACGAACCAAAAATGTAAGTTGCCTTACCGATATTTTTCCCTAAATGAGGCGCCGGGTGACTGCGTTTAGTTGATCGACTCGTGATTCGCAGTACCATTTGCTTCACATACGCAGTTTTTCCGCGTTTACTGATTAAGGAGTGCTCTTTTCGCTCCAATTATCCATGCTTCGAGCATGAGTACTAGGTTGTTTACTCCAATATTTGCTTTATCGCCTTCATTGGCTGCATTCAGCAGAGAAAACTAATCAGCGCTTAGTGATTCTTTAATGTGATTGGTTCTCGCCTTTAGTTCTTTGCTGCATATAAGTGTACGGATCATGTTAAAGAATCACTAAGCGCTTATTAATAATCAGTTTTCTCTGCTGAATGCAGCTATCGTCTTCACATAGCTGTTTGTAGGTGTATTCATGTCTCCAGTCACATTGGATCAAATTTTTTGATCCAATTAATATACTACTTTTGTTGTTAATTCTTCTTGAGGAAGAATTTGTACTTGGCACTTGTTGTTTGATAAAAATCATTCTTTCACAGTGGACTGTATATCTTTTTTTGATCTTTATTCAATAATATAGATTGCTACATATTACTTAGGAAAATCACTGAGTGATCATAACATATAACGCGATTAGATAAACAAATTTATAGAAGCGTAGCAAATGATGAAATAACGCGAGGCCTCAGCTGGAAGTTTGCCATCTAGTCCTTTACAAGGAAGATGGGCTTTCGCTATTGAAATGGATACTAGGACGAATGGAAGAAATGTATCCAGAAGATGATAAAATCACAAGAACTTATCCGAACGCCAATGGGGAAGTACAAAAGGCCAGCGATTAAACTTTGTATTTTACCATTAGACAACAATTCTAATATCAACGAAGGTTTATAGTTCAAGATTGTCATTATACTGATATTACTTTGATCCATCATTCTTTAAGTTACAATTTAAGTTTTTATTTAAGTTCATTGCGAAATTGATTGACAATTATAAGTAGTCAAGGCGCGCGACATATTGTATTGAAGTTAAGTTGGCAATACTGCTGTCATTTAATAAAATTCCTTAAGTTTTTTTTATCTAGTTGCGTTATATGTCATGGCCGTTCAACAAACATTAGTCTTTTGTTTGTGGTAGAGACAACATGATCACAAATTATTTAAAAGATTCTGAAATAGTGGATTGCAACATTACATTATTCACAATAGTTTAAAAGTTTCAAGTCACTGAACATAATGTTGAATGTATGCAATAATGATTGACAGACAAACAAAAATTTTTTAATAAATTTGATTACAAGAGTTTCTCGTCAACTGAGAAACTTTTGCCGAATTAATCGACTTTGTAACGTATCACACAAATCATAGTTCAACTGAAAAAAGATGTCTAACATATTATGTAAGAAAGAGAAAGTAACATCTATCTCTTTGTTATATTTGTCCATGCGCTAACAATTTCCATTTTATTCTATCGGCTCTGAAGAGGATTAACAATAAGTAAAGTTCGAAATGTCCCGTTTTGTATATAATTTAATAAATTTAATTGTAAATTTTATCTATCTAACAATATTGCTCGGTTTTTAAATTATTGACCTTGAATTGATGACCTTGAAATTACTTTTATATTGTAAAAGAAGTTTCAGGTTGAGACAATTGTTATCATGATTGGAGGGGGGGTCACGTATTACGTCTATGCGAAAACTCGTTTTTTACATTCAAAACAAATCGATTTACAGAATAAGTGTGATGTTCAGTTGCTCTTGTTTTCATCGGCTGGACCGGGAGCGACGCACTTGCACACAGTTTAATCGCACACACCATTCAAATCGGCCGGTTCCTAGTAATTTTTAATTGCTCTACCAATAAGATTATATTATTTTAAATTAGCCGGTTAACGATGTGGGCAATTGATATATACTCGGCTGGATCAATTTTCTTAAAATAACGAATTTCGCAGACCTACTAATAATTCGATAATGGACTTTGATTCCAATCCTCCCAGTTCTAATAACAATTGTCACCTCAACTTGAAACTTCTCTGTGAAGTTAATGCCTCATTATAAGGTAAAATTTGGCACACCGTTCAGTCCCAAACGAGAGAGGTAAACCGCTGAGGGAATTATTTGAGGCATTTCTTGAAAATTAGTAGGAATTAACGAGCAGTGGTGGGCATTATTAGACGTTAATGAGCATTACTGGGCATTACTAGGTATTATTATAGGTCTGTTCGTGTTGTTTGTACTTTTTGCACTCAACATCTTCGCTTTCTCCCTTTTTAATGCCCAAATATGTATCTATCTCATTTTAAGTTCAAAAAGATTTGGAAATTTCAAGCAATGAACAGACTTTACTCTTACTAGGCATTAATTAACATTATTATTATTTTTTTCAAGTAAAACTGTTTAATATTAATTATTCTATTATAATACTATATATTTATTATACGTTACCAATCAAATATTTATACATACAGATTTGGGGCATTACTAGAAAATTACTTTATCACTCGATATAAGTAGAGTCATTCGCAATAATGTCTTTAAGTTAGATTAGGTTATACGTCAGTTTAACCGCAGTAAAAATCAATAAAATTAGGCTCATTCGACGCATTTTTGCACGAAACGAAAGAATTAATCTGGTGGAAAAAAGCACTATGCCTCGCGAACTGAGATATTAGTTGTGAAAGTTGATGACTACTTCGATTAGGAAATCTGTCATAGTCACACAACACAGGGCATTACTATGGAAATTACATAAAAATTCAATAATAATGCCTCGTGTTTACCTTAATGGTTTACTTCTTGGTTCCAAAATCGAGAGTCTAAAAATAGAAGATTTTTTGAGTCACTTTTTCTCTTGAGATAAATCACTTGCGATAAATTATTTCTTATTACTATATGTATATTATTATATAATGTGAAAAACTTAATTTGTTATTATCCTAATTTTTTATCGTTATTAATAAAATGATTTAATTCTTTTTCACTTATTGTCACTACAATTTAGTTTGAAGGGACTTAAAAAATATTAAAAATGTATACATTTTTTTTTAGAGTTGGCAAGAAAAGTCCAGTAGGTGGAAAAAAACCATTGTAAATTCCGAATTTTAACGATCCGGAGTTTATGGGAATAAACTGGCAAAAATTATAAAACTGTTAAATCTATAATGTCAAATTAATAAAACGATATAATTAATATAACGATTTAGTAAGTAAGAGTAATGGCGACTTAAATTAGATTAAATTTGACACTATAGATTTAACACAATAATTAATATATGATAATTAATATATGATACCATAACATATTTAGACACTTTATATACATTTTATATTATTTTAATTGTACTTATAATATTTTATTTTTGTTTTACGTATATGGGCATTTTTAGAAATAATTGCATGACTCACAAGTAGATATAATCAGATTCAAATGCAAAAATGAACGCAAACACGAATAAAGAAAAATATAACCTGGTAAATTTGCTTCACTAAATGCAAATAACATGGACAGTATTGGCGCTTATTAAAATATCCGTATATTACATATTAAAATAAAATATATATTGTATTATAAAAAGATGTTACCAACTGAGTTACAATTAACAGTACGTCTACAGCGCCCTACTGATTACTTCGCCAGAAAATAATAAATGTATAATCACTGTTTGAATTTTTTATTTATTCTTTCACGCGTAGAATTCTTGCACAGAATCTAAGACATAAACTGGGACTATAAGATGCTTCAGTCTGCTGCTTGTAAATTAAAATATCGATAATTCTATTTATTTTATTTTTAATAGAAAAGTCTAGTTTTTGAGCCAGTTTTTTTCCGAAAAATATCAATTTTTATCACTAGCATGGACTTTATCCAAAAAAAAGTGGAATTTTGTCAACCCTGCTTTTTTTTAGCTTCTCAAAAATTATTACTTTTATTTCCGATTTTGTTAATTGACATAAACAAGTAATAATTACACACAATCATTATATCACATTTTGACAATAATATATATAAAATATGAAGAAAATATTCAAAATTTATTTTATATCAATATTTAAGATACAATTTTTAGCCAACATTTTTCTCAGATATCACATAAATACTATCATTTGTATACTGAAAAAAATGTCCGGTTCAAAATAAACGAACCAGAAAATTCTGATAATATATTAATCAAAATTCTGGTTATCTAATTAAAACTATAATAATTCAATCAGTTATTTTTTGTAAATAAGGTTACAAGATTACAAAGACGTAACACTCGTATCGTTACGTTTCACCGGTTTATCCCTCATTGGTGTTTCATCATCGAAACTACGTTATATTCGCGATATGACATTAATATGACTTAATTTGCATATAAATTAGTTCCCGCGAATTCGCGATATATTACAAATAGAGCACATATACGAGTTTTGATTCGTATCCCGCGATTCCGCGGTCAGTTATGCATATACGTATACATATTGCGACCATTTGCCCGACGACTATAAACCATAGTAATTATCAAGGCGAGATCCCGCTAACGATACTAGACTCTTCGCTATTTAACGATCCTAGATCATGATCAATGGGATCGCCCGCGTGCACTCTACTGCTGCATAATTCAAACGATCGTCAATTCTCGTAAAGATCCATACAGACGATTTACGTACTGGGAAGTGATCGCGTCATTCTCGCATCGGAGAGTAATCTCGGTTCAGCGAACTACCACGATCGGCGCGACGATATGAAGGGGAAGAAAGCAGCGAAGAAAGCGAATAGAAAATAAAATTGTCTTGACAATCAGGAGACACTCGTCATCATTCGTATCAAGTTTCTCTTCTTCTTCGTCATCACTCCTTGCGTCTCGTGACTCGTACGTTGTCAGACGCTGGCAATGCAGTGCAACGTCAACGGTGCAAAAGCGTTTCCCTCACCATGAAAACGGGAATTTGCCGGTTTGTTACCGAGGGATTGCTCCAGACCCCGGCGAAGGGTGTTGGGACGCGGAAATCGTTTTCCCGGTGTTTGACACACTC